GCTGAGTGTTTTTATTTCCATAATTTCCATTTGTTTTTAAGCAGCATACTGATTCAAATTAATCAGTTTAACCAAATTAAGATATTGCTGTATATAAAAGGAAATATAAAGTAGGATTTACTTCTTAAGATAGATTTGGTTTGTCTCTTGTGGTGATCTTAGTCATTTGTAAAACACGTCCCAAGTGTGAACATTTATTAACCTCTTTCAGTGGCATTCCCTGTGTATCTGCAACTAAGAAAACAGATAAGACTGACTAATGCTAATAGATGTAGAGAGGTACATCTATCTGTTACAGTCACTGATGTCAGTGAGTTGACTCTATTGCAGTCAGAGTTGTTTAAACGAGTCGTGTGATCATTTTAAAATGAATAGCTCTGGGAATAGGCTTTGCTGTAATTAATGTACAGACGTGCTGTGAACACATGCAGACAAGCTGGCGCTAATTATACAGTTCAAACTGATTTATCGTAAGCCATTTTCTCACTGAATATTTTGTCATGCTTTTCATTTCTCATCAGCCTAGAAAGTAAGATTTATAGGACGATTGTTTGTACACTATGCTGTATTTCTGAGCTGCAAATCACAATAAGGACAGCAGCACTATTGTATGTATTTCAAAGGGATAATTATTCATAACAAATGGCTTCAGAGCACTAATGACATCGCCACATTAACCTCAGCGTAAACCCTGCTGATAAAGAACATGTTGAGACACTTATATCAGAATCACTCCCTTCTAGGATTACGGTAAAAAGAAAAAAGAAAAACTACAGCTGTACAGTACAGCTGTTCTTTGAATGTTCTGTATGTTCTTTGAAGCTCCATTTAATAGATTCACTGATTAAAACTACTGGTTTCTAAAAGTATTCCGCATGTGACCAGTTTAAGTAATTGAATCATATGAAGTGGAAAAGGGTAAATCACAGAGAAATAAAATAAAATATTTGAAGCTTTATCATTTAAAACAAGGGTCTTCTGTAAAATCTGTGTAATATCTTTCATTCTTACTGTTTTTTACTACTGTATGTTTCAAATGTGCTCATTAGTATTAAATCTTACCATGGAGACAGACTGCAATCAGTTGATAAGCTTCTGTTGTGACTATAAGTTTCAGTTTACTTGTGGTGGGTATTTAGATTCATACCATGACTCAAATCTTTTTAAGCAATTAGCTAAAATGATTAGTTCAGAAACCTTCATTCTTTTTGAGTGTTATGATGTCCTGATTCATTCACTTAACTAATTTGTTAAAAACTTAGAGAACGTCATGGCAATACCTAAACTTAACTACTACATTACTAACTATTAATAAGCAGCAAGGCAAACGTTTAAGGCAAACGTCACTGAAATTCTTGCTTAGACTGGAACACATTTGAGAGTCTTGTGGTTAGGTCAGTCTTCCATAACCAACCACACAGTTTTACTGTAAGTTCAGCCTACCCTCACAGCAACATCTAATAACGGATAACGGTAAGTCTGACTCTATTAACCCTGTTGCTCTCTCCCAACCAGCAGGATGTCGTAACGCTACCATCCAGCATAAGATGAAACTGCGGTCTCATGTCGGGCCAAGACAGAAGTCAAGACAAAACCTCAAAAGCCAAGATGTAAGCAGTGACCTAGAACAAGAAATTTTGAGGTCAAGATCTGACCAAAATCAAAAGGTCTGGAGGAGCAAAAGCAGAGTAGGAGTAGGAGCAGGAGTCATGCCTCAAAACTTATCGATCAACTTACAGTGTAGATTCATTTCAGCTGCTTTTGAAGAGCAAACATCTTAAATGTCTGGCGTAAGCGAGTACTTCTTTTGAGTTAAATTTGAACTGTAAATTAAACTAGTCAAACAAATTGAAAGCTTCAGGATGTCTAAAAACAAAAGTGAAGGTCATTTACTTACAATGGCTCAATTATAGAATAATTATACTATGCAGGGTATAACTTGGATGTATGTGCACTGATTGCTTAATCATATTGTTTATAGATAAATTAGCAATACAAATATGGATCCTGCTGTAAATTGCACGTTCCAAACAGAATAAAGATAACTATAAAAACATTTAGAGCTGTGTGTCTATATTTCATCTTTTTGTTTTTGAACTCTTCTGTCTGTCCCAGTTAAGGAGTTAGTGTATGTTTGTGGTTTGAGTATGCAAAAAATATTTTTAATTCAGGGAAATGTTAGAAAAAAGTAGAAATTGATACACTAAGAATTTGCATAATTCGCATTTACAAATGTTCAATGGACAAAGTTGAAAACCAGACAGAATGTTCTGGCAGTGGTTTCTCAAACCCCTATTGTGTACTTTGTGGAAAATGAAATGAATGCTGACTGCATAAGGTAGATTTATCTATCTGACACATGGAAATCTTTCCATGTTCCCACTCTCATATTACTTTATACAAGCAGGAATGTTTTAAAGCTTGATACATGTATTACTTTGTCCTTGGTTTTTAAGTATTAAACTTAAAAAAATGACACTCAAAAATTACATTTTCCAGATGAGCATTACATCACTTGCTCAACAATGAATGCTCTGCAGTTAAAGTGTCCCTATTATGGTTAATGAAAGGTTCATATTTTGATTTTGGGAATCCCTATGTTTTAAAGCTTGATACATGTATTACTTTGTCCTTGGTTTTTAAGTATTAAACTTTAAAAAAATGACACTCAAAAATTACATTTTCCAGATGAGCATTACATCACTTGCTCAACAATGAATGCTCTGCAGTTAAAGTGTCCCTATTATGGTTAATGAAAGGTTCATATTTTGATTTTGGGAATCCCTCGACAACTTGTTGACATGCATGCAAGGTCAAAAAACACTTTCATTGTCTTATAATATGCATTTATTTTTACCTTACTTTCTCAAAGACTCCCAAATATTCGCTCAACGATTAATTTTTCCAAACCCCTACTTTGCGTGACGCTAATCTGCGGTGATTGGTCCGATTGGTCTCATTTTCATTTCATCATGCCTGTAATGCTTGATAAAGCAGCGTTTGTGAGCGCAGTGCTGGTTTGTGTACAGCGTTGCCGGATAAATAAGTGTATGAGTGAATAAATAGTGTGTGTTCCACAGTTATTGTTGTGTTCCACAGTTATCGTTAAGACAGTTATTGTGAAGAAACTTAACAATATATACAGTTGTCAATCTATACAGTGTATACAGTGTTATACACTGCATGAAAGGTAATTTTCAAACATTTAAAAAAATCCATAATAGAGGCACTTTAACGGGTGCCATCAGAATGAGAGTCCAAAAGCTGATTAAAAAACAATCACAAGTAATCTACAAGACTCCAGTCCATTAATTAATGTCTTGTGAATTGAAAAGAAGTAATTTTAACTTTAAACTGTCACTTCTGGCCAAAGTAGAATCCATAATCTATAATAACGCTTCCTCCAGTTAAAAAAAAAAATTCTGTTGTTCTCTCACATCAAAATCCACAGACATATTTCTTTAGAACTGTATTTTATTACAAACACATTGCTTTTTGCTTCACAAGACATTATTTGATAGACTGGAGTTGTGTAGATTACTTCCCGATTATTGTGATAGTTTGTTTAAACTCTCACGCTGACGGCATCCATTCACTGTAGAGGATCTGAGCAAGTGATGTAATGTCACATTTCTTCTTTAATAATTTGGAATTTTGCCCACTATGCGCCTTTTCTTAAAATAAAATAAGTGTTTGAATCCTGAACCTGTCCCATCTGTGATTGAATAGCTTCTCATTTTTACAGCATTTTGAAAGAAGATACATGTGAAACAGTTTCTTTGTTTCAGTTCTTTTATTGTTTCCCTCTGCATTCTCTGAAAGAATCTGCATGGCCCCAATTTATTGCGGGATAACGCATAATGATGGTTAATGTGTTCTGAATTTAAGTGACAATTACCGCTGTTATGCTGTCAATTATGCATCTAAACATTATACTGTGGACTGACTGCTGGATTATACAGCTGCCACCTGCCCGATGACTTTTAAAGAGTAATTCTTTTCAGACGTCTGTGGTACAGCAATCCCATAAGCGGACTCTTTCAAGAATGTTTCTGGAAAGAATCCTGACTTGGCCAAGGAGTCTCATCTGTAGTTCTCATTCATGTGGATGGTATCTTTTCTGGCTATCATTACTTCTTGTGGAATTTTAAATGGGCTACTTCAGGCCGACATTTGGTTTGCCTCTTTAAAAGAAAATTTTTCTGAGCTAAATTCTGCCTGGTTTGACTATAGTACTTGTGTGTGCCATCACGCCAATTTAATTTTAGTGTCATTCCAGCCATTTCCACTCAAAAATGGTGTTTCCAAAAGTTTGTTTTCTTTTCTTTGAGCGAATGCCATAGACTAACAATTTTAGGTTCCCAAAAAACTTTTCAGTGAACCATTTTTTTTGTCTGAATGTGAAGAACTTTTTAATAATCTAAAGACATTTTTTCCACTTTAAAGACTTTTTGCGCAATAGAAAGATTATATGGAAGTTAAAGGTGTTTCATGGACCCAGAGATTCCAAAAAATGTAATTTAAGAATGTAAATAGTGGAGCAAAATGCCATTTCATCAGGTCTGCAATGGAAATTACAGACAGCTGGAAATTCAACAAAATATGCTAAAAAATATATATATATAATAATATATATATAATAATAATAGCCTAATAAAAAAACATTTCCAAGTGGTGGTCTACAAATGTGTAAAGTAACAAAAGAAAGTAAACTAGTCCGGTCCTATATCACTCATTTAGGATGCGGGATGATAATCCGGGTTATGTGAGTCTCTCCTCCGGTAAACCGGTGTCCCAGCATCATCCCGGTGTTGTATGATCCCTCAGAGTAGATACACCTTTGCTCTGAGTTTTCGGGGGAACGGTGTCAAACTTTTGAAGCTCTCCAAAATAATGGGCGGATCTTTCCAAGACTAGTGATTACCCCGTGTTCATTTCTTTTCCCTCACGGGTCAGGTTTAGTCCACACGTCCAACCCTCCAAAAGACTTGAGCTCTTCAGGGAACAAACCGGTTTTCTTTTTTTCAGGAGAGCCCGTTTACCTTCAGTCTGAGAGTCTACTGGGCGGAGGGACTGAGGAGTTTGTTCACGACGAGAACCAATAGATTTTTTCGCTCATGGCAGTGCAGAAATAAATAAAAATAATCTGGATTGTGGAAAAAGGAACGAATTTGAAAATAAGATACAGTTGAGGGCGCCGGTCATGGATAAGGATAAGGAAAGGTGGTCCACGAGATGGAAAACGAAAAACTGGTTTAGGAACTCCGCTTTAAGTGCAATCTTCAGTCTGACTTTTGTCCTACAGGCAACACATGTGAGAGCAGGTAAGGAAAAGGTTGAGGAGCATCGTCACGAGCCTTCCAGTGATGCCAGCCTTCAGTATAAACCTGTATATAGTTAAATATATTACTTAAAATGTGTAGTGAATTTCGCTGTCAGAATATTATAAAATTAGCATGTGTATATTGCAAATTTATTGGCTGTTTCAAAACCGAGTGAGCTGCCTACCTAGACAGCATTTATGGCCATCATAGGCTCGTTACGAATTACAAGGCATTTCTAAACCTCAATCTCGATAACGAATATTTGAAATTATATGTAATAAGAATGCCCAAAATGCAGCTTGATGAGAAAAATAGTTGACTAAGCGATATCAGTGGCGTATGTTCTGGCTGTTAATAATGCCATTGTTTCAATAACGACATACCCAGCATTTTATTTTTGAAAAGTATATATGATTATTTTATTTATAGATATATTCATGTCTTATAGCTACAAGAGGCTGCATTTGAAATTTAGATTGGAAGAGTCTACCAAGACAAATATTTTAAGTATTTCTATAAGCTTGTAGCTTCTATATAAGTATGTTAATGTTGTTAAATTAAATATATGGACATATTAAATTTGTGTAAATACAATTTTAAATACCAGTTACAATATCACTGGTGACCCTGATCTTCAAAGGTTTAAATATAGACAAAACAATTGGTTATTTCCCAAAAATAGAGTGGTTCAATAAATAGCAGAAAGGTTCATGTCTGTTATATTTGACCCGTTGGTGAGACAGCATTCATGGTACCTGCACTACCCTGCACACACCAGTGAGGCACTCGAGTGCCCAGAATTAGTTTAGGAAATTGTGTTGCTCAGACAGAGAGCGATACCATTTCTCCACACTATCCCAGTCCACACTAAAGACCCATCAACTGTCAGAAAGCTACTGTAGAAGTGCTTTCTGACTTGTACACATTGTCTACTTTTAAAAGTGGACACTTGAGTGATTTAAAGTGGCCCTATCCATCATTTATACATTTAGTCTTCCTGTATAGGCTACTTTAAGTAATAGGCTAAATTAGGGCATCTTCTTTCTGACTCACCTGTATACTGTATGAGGATCACAAATATGTTTTTGTATACTGTCTTTCTAGTAAGCTTTCAAAGAGCCTGGTCTCTCCTGCTTTAAGCTAATCCAAAATATAATAATTACTCTGTAAAATGAGAAAGATTATATTCCTTTGTTGCTGTTCTGATGGCCATTTCAGATATATAACATACCTCTTTCAAAATGGCTGCCTGATAATGTCTTCACCACATTGCACTTCTCTAGGCCAATTGGGAGGTGGGGATATTTTGAAAGTGAGTTTCCACATTTTTGGTTTAATACGAATCTTGACCACAACTAAATTCCATGCATGAAAGCTACCTTTTGGCTCTAGTTTTTGGATTGAGTTGAAATCTATATAAAATATCTCCTACAGCAGTTCACAAAGTCCACATGAGATATAGGCCACACCTGCACGGATATTCAATGATTCAACCAATGAGGATACAGGGCCTTTTTTTTTTTTTTGCAGTTGTTTTCTACATCATAGAACGGAAAAGGCTAATGTCTTGTACTGGGATTTTATTGACTGTTGGATCAGTTTGAATGTTATGATTTTTCTTGCCTGACCAATTGATATTGTGTCTCTTGTGTATTTGACGGCATTGACATTTCTGCCAGATTTCTTCAAGGTTTGAAGTCATATCAGAGGCTGAATTACGCAGATGATAAATTATTTTCTGCTAAATACTTTTGCCATATTTTATTGTGAAAAATCTACCATGACATTATCCATGACACTGGCTCTCCCAGAGAGAATATCTGGAAAATACAAAGAAGAAGAAAAAATGTATCCAGTGCTTTTAACTGTGGATGTGCATTAGGAGCAATGTGCTTATTTGCAGCTTTAATGGGTTTTGGATGCTGATATTCTTTTAAGAGCTTCTGTGAGAGGGGGGTCCTGTTCCTGCCAATTCTGCACATCTGGAATATATGAGGCCTTTAGGTATGCAGTAATGCTGAGAGGCATTCTGAAGAGCACAAAGAGACCTTCAGTTTAGTGTTTAGAAAAGAAAAAAAAACAGTAGCACTGCATTTTGGAAGAGACTCGTAAGAGTTACAGATTATTACCCTCTCCTTTAAGAGTTTGGGTGCCTTTTATTCTGTTTTTGCATCTCATTTAGAATGACAATGCAGAGGGCTGCTCTTTGTTTTGTCAGTGGGGGTTACGCTGAATGGAAACTCTCAACAGACTGATTTGACAAAGCTACATTAAGAACCTCACCGCATCAAGCTCACAAACGTGCACACATATGTAGACACGCTGGGCTTTATTGTGTGCAGCTGTTTTAATTTTATCAAGAAAATGAAGCTGTTCTAGGCAAATACTGCAGATTTTTGGTAAATATTTAAAAATTCCTAAAAATTATTTATATACTATACAAAAATGTATACTGTATAATACTGTATAATGTTATATATATATATATATTTTTTTTTTTTTGGTATTTTTAAATATATTATAAAATGTAAGTTATTCCTGGGATGGCAAAACATTTTCAGAAGCCATTTCTCCAGTCTTCAGTGTCACATGATCCTTCAGAAATCAATCTAATATGCAAAAAATAAACTTTTCTTATCATATTATCACTTTTTATTATCATTTATCACTTCTCTTATGTCTTAAAAATGGTCAGGATTCTTTAATCAATAGAAAGAACAGCATTTATTTGAAATAGAAATACTTTGTAACAATTTAAATCATTTTAATATATCCTTGCTGATTAAAAGTATTAATATATATATATTTTATAATATCTAATTTTAATATTTATCTTTAAGTAAAATTTTACTGACTCCAAGCTTTTGAACAGCATAATTTGCTCTTAAACATAGTCCCTATTTATTAGTCCCAGAGTAGAATAACAATACATTTGTGCTTTCAGTGCATTAGGACTTGGTTGGTGGTACACTGAGTCAAAGTTATCTGCAGGCTGTATACACCATAATGTGTTCAGCATGTGCACTAACCCTAAAAAAGCACCACCCTTCAGCTCCTGGCCACATATGTGGAACAGGAACTACCGGATCAGCACTTCCTGCATGCTCTTACCATATGGTTACAGAAAATAATAATAATAAAGTCAAATGTATATATTTTTTTACATGAACTACTGTAGCAAAAGAAGAACTCTCAAATGTTTTTATTTTTTTTGTTCTGCTCTTGGCCTTAAAATATAATTCAGTGTAATTGTGATGACCAGGCGTCTGAGTGACTTTTCCCCAGAGTCTATTTTTAATAAATGCAGCTCATCGTCCTTCATATTTTATAAAGGTTCTGCTGGTTTTATTGTTTCTTATGTGCAGTGTTATAGGGCTGATCTATCAAAAGACTTCAGTATAATTCTTCTAAAGTGCTTTCCCAGCCTTCGTTGAGTGGGACAGGGTGGAAAATGAGCCTTTTTGTGATGTCAAAGCATATGAAAATAAAACCCTGGTTTGGATCCAACACTGGGTCCTGAGAGAGAGAGTAATGAGTCTTAGCAACTAGTCATTCTGTTTATATGGTTTATTGTTTTTAGGCCTTTGAAAGAGATACTTCCTGTCTGCAGCCTGACCAGCAGACAAATATGTCCATTTGACCTGACTCAGACGTTTTTGTAGTTTCTGGTAGCGGGGGAGTCAGAATAGGAGTATTTATGTGCTAGTCATCCATTCAGCCTCTGTTCCTATTCCCTTAAACCTCCTGAGAATCAGAGACTTCACACAACTCAAGGCATCCTTAACCACAACATTCGCAGTGGTGATGCCAAACAGATGTGTCTAAAGCACACAAAGTTGTGTACGGATAGTGATGGATGTAAGTAACCCAGCTGATACTCTTATCTCCCTGACCTTGCGTACATCCTCATTCATCAGTCTCAAGTGAGGCCGGAACTTTTCCTTTTCACGGCATCAAAGACAAAGCCTAGACTCGAGCAGAACAATAAATCAGTGTGACATTACAGTGCTGCTCAGAGTCCACTTTACAGTACCAGCCTCTAAATTGCCATATTAATCATATCATAAATCTCTCAGCCTGTTTAAGCATTAGCATAGATTTGTTAAGGATCATTAGAAATGAGCCATCCGTGGGGTGCAGGCTGAGTGAAACCAGAACCTTTCATATATGACATTGGTAGTAGCAACATGATGAAGTGTAGTACCTGACATATTGGTGGAGCTGAGCGTCTTGTAAAGTCTTGGTCATGCTGAGCTGCCATAACCGTAGAAGGGTAGTGACCAGCACCAGTGACTTTAACTCCTGGAATGTTTGGCTTTGTAGATGGATCTGCATCTAGGGGGGTCAATTATCCCTACTGGATATTTCTTCACATCTTTACTGCTATGCTGCTCGGGTTCCTTGTAAAAGTACAATTGCTTCATTGAACGGTCACAGCACACATGCAATGGCAAGGAATTAGGTACAATAAAACCGTCAGTCAGAGTTAGCGTTGTTGCGTAATGACACAGTGTGGCACCAACAAGGAGGATACATATTTCATTGGAATTTGTTTGTTCATGTGCATATCAACAAATGGCAAGATGTGGCCCATAAATGTCCTCACTTGCTGGACGATAATTGACTGTAGATATACTCACTCCACACCATTCAAGGCAGGATAAGGACAAATAAGCCCTGTTGCATAAGATAAACGTGAACAATACTGACTACTTGTTTTTAAACTTGGATAGTGCAATAAAATTACATAATAACCCAACTGTACTTGGAAGCAATTGTGAAGATTAAATGGCTGGACATTTATTTCCGTTTCACAAGTTTTTTTCAGACAACTGTTGTTTCATATATGACAAATGAAAGGTATTTTTGGATGGTGCTGCTTAATTTTTCCCTCATAGACTTTTCCTCATTTCTACTCTAGCTGCTTGCTAATAGAATTATTGTCTTTAGTTAAATTAGATGTATGAATGGAAATAACTGAACAAATATTGTTTTGATTTGATGTAGCAAAGCTATTGAAGCTAATAATGTTTGCTTACCAATGAAATTATGAAAATGACAAATGCTTTGATCATAGCAACCAATGTTCTGCCTCACAGCTGAACCGGTGGATGTGCTCAAGGTCTTAGATTTTAAAAGTTCACCAGAAGGAGTGAAGAAAACACAAGGCTTCTGCACCATCCGGAGAGGATCCAAACCAGATGTGGCCTACCGAGTGGACAAACAGGCTCAACTCAGTACTCCAACCAAGCAGCTCTTCCCAGGTACGTGAATTAAGCTAATCTATGCACCCTCATCCCTACTTACTCTTAAATACAGCAAATGTTCTGCTTGGGCAAGGCTGTAAATCACCTCTAAATGTTGTGTAATTGGTTTTCTCTTGGAAAGTGACATTTTAAGTTGTTTCTTTCTTCTCTTTGAAATGCATCCAACAGGAAGTACATAATGTAGCTTGACCGTCTCAGTTAAATGCATTTGGACTGTTTACAGTGCTAGAAGTCTGATGGCCAGACCTTGATGAAGGAATTAAAGCCATGTTTATTGTTTCAAGAAAGAGTCCATTAAGAAAGAAAGAAAGCTCTTTGGCTACTGTTTTGACCTACATAGGCTCACTGGAAAAATGTGCCTCTACCCACGTTTTAGCAAAACTCCAAAAATGTATCTATACATACAATTCACTTCAGTTCCAGCTGAAATAAACACAAGTGAAAATAAAAGCACCAACATTTATTACTTTTTTGTGCAGTTACTTGCACAATACTGTTATGACCCTAGAACACTGTTACCATAGTGCATGATTTGTAAACTGATCCATTTTGACATTTGCACTATATAATCAGCTCCATATGCTCCAGACTTTTCTGAGGTAGTAAACTTGCTCGGTAGCTCACCTGGTACAGTCTTGCACGTGATGCAGAGCACTTGGGTACAAGTCCTGTGAAACAGTTAAAAAGCTTAAAGAGCTTTAACCTTTTAGCTCCACTCACTGGATATTTCATTTCTGAACTGCCACAATAGTGACAGCAACCAACATTATAAAATGTAGCCAAATTCACATTCACATTCACATTCACATCTGTTTCAAATAAAACTGAACACACATTTATTGCCACTTAGTTCATTTTGGAAGCGTGCAAGAAACAAAGTCACTTTGCAGAAATGTCACCACCTGCACATTTCCCAATGAGCCTGGGTTGGTAGCTTTTGGCCAGAGCGTTTCGTGCTAATTCATCCATGACTAGCTAAACAAATACTTAGTAAGATCCAAACTGCTATTAACTGTTGCTGCTGTTAGTCCTGTAACATAAACTAATATGTTGTTTGTAGCATCACAGATGATGAACCATTACATATTGTTTGCAATAAGGGTTATTTGTCATAGTAATGCTAATTATTCACAAAACCAGTGTGTCATATGTTTCGTGCAAGTCCATGGTTAGCACAGTTTTGAGTATAGTTTTTACGAATGGGATGTTGAAATCTCTAATTATTTGCTGTCTATAACAACAACATCATTTACATTTACTAGTTTAGTCACATTAACTTGGACCTTCTGTTCTGTGTGTGTTGTTATCTTCCAAATTGGCCAGACTGCAAAGGCTAACTGAAGCACAAAACAGCAGGAGATTAAATTAACAATTCGTTTTCTGTGATTTTTGGCTAAAATCAAATCGGCTCCAAACCTTATGATTTTAGGACTGAAATTTTTTTAGCAAAATAGTATGTTGGCAGAAAACAAAATCTCCTTCAAGGTTGGCAAAGTGAACAGCACTTCAGAGATAGACAGTTTGAGCTTTAGTTCCACACCAGTGCTCATACAACCCGTTTAATTGTAAATCTGTTAAGTCATCTGACACCTTGTAAAGTTAATGTGGCAACAGAAAAGACAAACCGTTTCATACTTCATTAAACCATCCCCTACAAACGATGTGGGGACTACTGAGTTGTTGTAAAAGGGCTACTGCATATTACAAGGCCATTTAGATCACAGTATTGTCTGATATTCTGCAGTATTGTAGTTCATCAACATCATGGAAAGGAAGACAAGCAAATGAATCATCAATAACAGCTGATGTTTAACCCACAATGCCTTTCCTGTGTCTTCAGGAGTATTCCCTCAGGATTTCTCCATCCTTATGACGATCAAACCAAAGGCGGGAGTACAGTCCTTCCTTTTGTCGGTATACAACGAGCAGGGCATCCAGCAGCTGGGTGTGGAGGTGGGCCGCGCGCCGGTCTTCCTGTATGAGGATCAGCATGGGAAGCCCGCTCCTGAGGATTACCCGCTTTTCCGTGCCATTAACCTTGCAGATGGAAAGCAAGTTGACTCTTTATTTGTATATATTTTTTTTTATCTTTGTGAAGGTTTTGGGTCTAAACAGATTGAATGTCTGAAGTAGTACAATATAATACATAAATTTCAGAAGTAGTCTTATTTTAATGGGCCTTAACATCTTTTTGAACAAGCTGTAGTACAGTTTTCATCAACTGGCCATTGAAAGTGTTTGGATAAGTTATGCAATTTGCTTATAAATTTTTCCTAGTGACAGTTTAGTTTAGTTTATTATTGGTTGTATTTTCCATCTGCTTATTCATTTATTTATCTATATAGATATAATTAAATTAGGAAAACTATGAATGCACAGCCATATGTAACTAATTTAGCAAAGCAAACATTTACTTTATAAGAAACGAGAACGGCAGTAAGCTTCTGTGCTTTTGATTAGCCACATTGAGGTTTACATGTGATAAAACAATTTGCGTATTCTCACAATTCATGTAATGAAAAACTTTTTTTCAGTTTGAAAAATCATGGCATTAAACAAAAACCAGCTTGTGAAATATTTATAATTGAGTCAATATGAGAGGCGGCGCTCAGTAAAACGCCTTTTGAAATGCACATGGATTGAGAGAGAATGCTGTTTGTCTGTTCCATTTAAATTATTTCATTTAGGAACATCCTGTACTAATACAAGGCAGTTGTTTTTCTCACTGTATGAGTTTTGGTTATGCAAGGGAAAGTAAACATATATCATTCTCACAAACATGGTTCTTCTTTGTTGTCTTTCCCACAAAATTTCCTCCCAACCGATAGGTGGCACCGTGTGGCTATTAGCATCGAAAAGAAGACCGTCACAATGATTGTGGACTGTAAGAAGAAGATCTCTAAACCACTCAGCAGAAGTGACCATGCAATCATTAACACCGATGGCATCACTGTCTTCGGGACCAGAATCCTGGACGAGGAAGTTTTTGAGGCAAGCAAAGTTGTTTTCCAAAAACCCTGGTGGATACAATCCATTCCACTTATGATTTGTGGAACAATGTTAGCAGGCCAATGATACATTCTCATAAAAAATTATACAAGAGGTGTCACTTGCACAATACCCTTTGAGAAGGTACATTATTACCCTTAAAGGATGCATATTAATACCAGTTGTGTACATTTTAGTGTCTTTTGAAAGTACCACCCCAGTGACAGATTTTGTACCTTTTTTTCTGGGAACTGTTTAGTCATTAGTGCTTACTTAAATTTGGCCACAAAGAATACTCACACTGTTGTAGTGTGTGTGTCGAGGCCATATGAATGATGCTATGCAGGAAAATTGGCAAATTAATTTTTTTAGTGTTTAGTCAGATAATGTTTGTCAAGAGTCTTTCATTTCACTTACAAATAATAGGGCACGTCAGTGGGTTTTATTTGCCCATAAATCACCAAAAGATGCTGAATGATTGTTAGAGTTTTTGAACAGAGCATCCCAGTCAATATCTTAAGAATTAAACTACTCTACATATTTGGCACATTTTATCATATATGGAATGCTGTTGAGGCCAGTGGGAATTGCTTATAAACATGGTGACCTGCTGTGACTTTTGAGAGAATTTGGCTATTTGTGGTTGTTTGCTTTTAAATGAACAGTTTTTATTCCCCTTTTGAAAGAAAAGGCCAAATTGGGGCCAAATTTTTACTTGCAACTTAATTCTCCTGAGCTATAAAACGGCAGTAGTATAAACATCTGTATGAAGATACAACTCAGTGGAAGTACAGTACTGTAAGCCACATACTAAGCAAAGTTTACTAAAGCTTGAAGTATTCCATTCACATTTCTCTTTGCTGTAAGAAGCAACGCAGCAATCCTGTGTAATTCTGCACGCTCGATTGCGAGACAATATCTGCTGAGTCTGTCTTTGATGTGAGCTGAAGGAATGTTGTCTAATAAGAACAGCATGCAAAATTTTCGCCTCAGGTTAGAGATGTTGTACAGCACAGGAATCTTTTGAAATTCTGATCCCATTTCTTCCTCTTTTCTGCTAGCCCCAGTGTTAGTCAGAGGGCTATGATGAGCCTGCAAAATATATAGCCTGAGAGGTAAATCTGCCATAGTTAATGGGCTCATTTTCAGCAATTGCTTAGCATCTCATCTCTGAATTCTTCCATCCACTGTACGGTTGCTCATAATGTTGGAAACTATGTCAAATTTGCTGCCCAGTAGTAAACACAGATGTTTCAATCAAGAGAGTTGATTATGATGAAAGCAACTGTCAAAAGCTTTGCTAATAGGTTTAAGCACTGTGAAATTAACCTCTTGTGGTTTTTGCTTTGTTTTTATGTTGAACATAAAATGCAAGTTTGGGTATATTGGTGTTTGTGTAAAGCAAATTATAAATAATTTTTTTGCCTATATGCAGATAGATTGTTTACATGGGTAAATGAGTCCATGTAAATCATAGAAATATAAGTTAGGAAGTTTTATAACCTCCAGGTTTATAACCCAAAACACCTGTAGGTGTTCTGCGGAAATTACTTTTGTGGCTTTTTAGTTTATGTTCTAACCTTTCCTCTAGATGGAGAGAGTATTTGCAGATGCTTATGCTGAATAACATTGAAGTTGTGTTTGTTTGTATATGTGTGTGTTTTGGAAAAGAAAGTAAGTTTACAACCTACACACCAGGGCAGTCAGACAAGAAATACATTCATATTAAACAGCCCAGGGAAGGAATTCTGATGACTGCTGTGATAATTCCAAGAGGAAATCGCTACTTTAGCAAATTCACCCACTTAGGAGTGTGTGTGTGTGTGTATATATATATATATATATATATATACACACACACACACACACACACACAATGGCGTTTTCTCCAAGGAGGCAATGGAAGCAGTGTCCCCTCAAAATTTTGGATGACGAAAATTTGTAGTATGAAAATAAAAGAATGTAAATATTTTAAAATATAACACTAATATTATAAATTACTCATTTTCTGAAAGAAATACTGTCCAACAGCAACACTAGCACGTAAAGTTACAGTTGGAGCCTGCGTCTGTCTTGCCTCCCCTGAGCCCATTGAGTTTAAACAGACCTCCAAAGTGTGCGGTGAGTTAGATACTTAGATATATCTACTTTATTATGTCAAAATAAGACTTGAAATGGCCTGAACATGATCTGAGGGAGTTTTTAGTGAGTAATCAGCTTGGTGAAATTTAAAGTAAATCTTTGTGTCTGTGACCAAAATTTACCGAGCTTGGATTACTGATGCAACAAAATTAAAAAATAGTTAAAAGTTAACTACTAAAATAAAAAGCTGAATATAAGTTCATGAATAAAATAAATTGTTTCAATTGTTACTGCCTTCAGTTATCATTTTGGAATAAATGTAAAATGCTTAAAAACACTAATTTGATGAGATTCATACTTGGCTTTAACAAATAGAATATTGATTACATTGTTAATGTAAAAAATGTAATATAGAATAGTTTTTTTTTTCTTTTCCTGATAGTGTAAATAATGTTTATTTAACCAGGAAAATGTGACTGGAACATGAATTTCCATTTGATAAAAAAAATAAAAAAATAAAAAATTGGAGGTCATTGCCTCCTCATTTCAGAGCACCACTGATATATACATACTGTATAATATTGGATATAAAGTACACTAGGGTTAGTTGTCACACTCTGTATTTGGAAATTATCATAGGTTTTTCGGCAAAGTTTTAATTGTTTAATAAACAAATCATCGAAACAATGAAAAGCAAAATGTAAAAAGTGAACAACAACAATATGAAACCTTTGTTAAATATTAATAGTATAGGATCTAATAAACTGAAGAAATGTATCAAACAATTCACAACTTTTCTTAAAGGGATAGTTCACCCAAAATTTTTAATTTGATGTTTATCTGCTTACCCCCAGGGCATCCAAGATGTAGGTGACTTTGTTTCTTCAGTAGAACACAAACTATGATTTTTAAGTCCGGCCGTTGCAGTCTATCAGTCGTATAATGCATGGCAATGGTTACAAAAATCTATGAGAGTAAAAAAAACATGTACAGACAAATCCAAATTAAACCCTGCGCCTCGTGGCGACACATTGATGTCCTAAGACACGAAACGATCGGTCTGTGCGAGAAACTGAACAGTATTTATATAATTTTTTACCTCTAATACATCACTATGTCCAACTTCCTTGAGCACGCGCAGGCATCCGGTGCGTGAGGTGTGTACGCGCTAAATCTTTAGCATATATTTGACTCTGGTCTGAATTTAAGTCAGTGTGGTTTTATGGTGTTCTAATTTCATTTGCTAACCCAACAGCTATAGCAAAATATTATGATATTGTAAGTTAAGTTTAGAGGACTGAATTTACAAAATAACTCTAATTTAGGTTTTTATGTAGGTTTTGAAACCCACAAAACCACCACTAGAGAGAAACATTTTTGTAAATGGACGTTTATTTCCACCTTATAGTCAACTGGGATGCATGCCTTGTGACAACTAGAACTATAGTGTAAAGTCATTCAGTCTTATCAGATAAGTTTTAACATTTTCCCCTAAACTATTAAGATATCATTATGAAGAGGTTTCATATGCACGTTCATGTTCTTTTGCAAAAGATCTTTGCAAGGACTGTTTGTGAAGTGGGAAACATATCTTGTCACTCTTGGCCAAGGAAGTATCCAGGCTTAGCCAGCCCTGTGAGATGTGGCATGGATTTAGGGATCTCTGGCCAGAAGTCCAGCATGTCATAAGGAATCCAAATTAGTGTTCCTTCGAGGACATGTGTTAGACATTGAGTGGATGGAAAAAATCAAGCTGAATAACTCTGATCAAGACATTTTTAGTAAGTGTGATCATCTTGTTGTTGAAATTAATTGTCTTTTTGTCACAGAATAACAAATAGGTGGAGTTTTTTTCTCCATTCATTTGTTCATGACATCCTTGAAGGACACCTTTTAGTGTCTCTTTCTGCAGGTTGCATTGCTACACCAGTAGGTGGTGATAAATTACTGTTTTGAGTACTGTTAATTACTGTAAAGTACTGTTTTGAATTACTGAGTGAGTCAATGAATAATTTGCAACAGTATCTCATTTGGCTTTGCTTGGAACAATTTTCATTGAAAGTAATTTACTGTGTCTAAAATACAATGAAAAAAAATAGTTAAAAAAATGTCTAAAAAGTTACGTAAATATAACTTCTTGTTTACAGAACAATTTTAAAAATGAGGTCCCTCTTCCATCTTTATTTGACCCCCTAATTGTAGCACTCTCTATTCTAATTCTATTCTATAAAAAAACTTGCCCCTTTTAGACTTTTAGAAAATACTCTATTAATTTACTAACTGCTTGTTTTCAGTTTAAAAAAACAAACAAACAAGTCAAGTCAAGTCAAGTCACCTTTATTTATATAGCGCTTTTAACAATACAGATTGTGACAAAGCAACTGAACAGCATTAATTAGGAAAATAGTGTCAATAATGCAAAATGACAATAGTAAACACTCATTTTTCAGTTAAAGACAGTTCATCATTGAATTCAGTGATGTCAACATCCAGCTCAGTTCAGTTTAAATAATATCTTTGCAATCATGTCAACGATAATGCTGGAAATGAAGTGTCCCCAACTAAGCAAGCCAGGCGACAGCGGCAAGGAACCAAAACTCCATCGGTGACGATGAGGGATAAACACTGGCTTCTCTATTCTTTTTTAATTCTATCTGTTTTCTTTTTATTTATTATATGATTTTTTTTAAATCTTGCTACGTGCACTACATTAAGCTAACTAAGACTTGTTATAGCACTTGTGTATCATTGTTCTTTTGCTGATTTTGATTGCTTCCTTTGTCCTCATTTGTAAGTCGCTTTGGATAAAAGCGTCTTCTAAATGACTAAATGTAAATGTAAGTTATGCATCGCTCATTATTTTCATGATTGTCACTGCTTAAAACTTGTTCACATTTGTAGAGATACCTATTAATAAACAG